CCCCCATCTCCTCCTGGTACCCCAGGGCTGTGGACACCTCACCTTTTTCCCACTACCCCAGGGCCATGCGACACCCCATTTCCTCCCAGAGCCCCAGTGCTGTGGGTCCCCCCACCTCCTTCTCACACGCCATGGCTGTGGGACACCCCAATTCCCACCCTCCAGGTGCCCGGTGCAGACTCACCCGGAGCAGGCGGATGTCGTTGTCCACRGCGCGGGGGTTGTAGAGCGGGTGGGCGATGGATTCGGCCACACCGAAGATCTGCTGGGACGCCTCGGGCTCCTGCAGCCGGTGGGCTCCCAGCACCACCCGCACCGAGGGGCTGCCCCTGCGGCCAGAGGGTGTGGATGGAGCTGCTGGTGGCCATCAGGGAGCGGGGGATGGCCAGTAGGGCTCAAGCGGGGCACAGTTAACTCCTTGTGACAGTGTTATTGGTGGCCACGCCACCATTGGGGACAAGGCTCACCTGGGCACGAAGCAGTGGGCAGCTGTCATCACCCACTTGGGCCACACCAAGAAGCCCCCGCAGACGTGCTGCCCGTCCATCTGGATGGAGGCGATGAAGGGCCGGGAATGGGGCACCGCTGCCTTTCCCCCGATGATCTGGCTCCCCTCGGTGCCTGGTGGGTGCAGTGATCGTCAGCCTCCCCTGTGCCACAGCGCTCCAGSGTTCCTGTGTCCCCCTGCCCTGTCCCCCCAGCTCTCCCTTTACCTGCCGGAGCCAGAGCTGGGAGCAGGACGGAGCCTCCCAGGCTGAGGATGAAGAGTCCAGCTGTGCCCATGGTGGCGCAGAGCGGGCCACTGCCACCGCCGCTGGGGCTGCTCGGGGCGAGGGAGCTTAAATCCCTTCTGGGGCTGAGCCTTGGGGTGCGGACGGGTGTCTCCCTCCTGCTTCCTCCTCTCCGGGTGCTGCTGCTTTGTGCAATTCGGGGGGCGGGGGGCCCTGGCAGCTCCCCCGGAGTGGGAAATGGGGGGCAGAGCAGCTTCTCAGCTCTGTGCCCTGAGCTAACCGGGATGAAACCCCTCTCCTCCTGGCAGGGAGGTGGCAGCAGCGGCGCTCCAGGACATCTCCCAAATGTGACAGCGTCCCCGGGATTGCTGGGGTGACACAAGGACTGTGCTGTGCTCYCACTCGACGCCTCTTTCAGCTCCTCCTGAGCCCCAGTGGCTCTGGGGTGATGCTGTGGGCAGAGGGGCAGTTTCCYCCCTCTATTTTGCATCGYCCTGGAATGCAAAAAGGGGTGMAGSGAGTGGGGAGCTTGGGAGTGGGGGKWTGTGGTGACCCTCRGTGCAGAGCCAGGCTCKCTCCGGGGCCAAGTGCAGAGCTCTCGCCCGGCAGCGGGCAGATTTCCCAACAGAAAGCGGCTCGGGGCTTCCTGTGGCCGTTTGCCCATCGTGGCCGTTGGGTTGGGAAACGGGGGGCGGAAAAGGGGCAGCAAAGAGGCGGTGGCTCCCGGAACGGGGAAGGATGGGGTGGCTGCATGCACAGGAGGGGGTTACACATTTACAGGGGTTCATGGAGGAGCTGTGAGCGCAGCCCCTCCAAACCCACCCCGCACCGGGCGCTGCGCAGCCAACACCGCTTCGGGACCCCCAGCAGCAACCCCAGCGCCGGGGGTCCCCGAGGATGGATGATGGGCGRYGGCAGTGGCGAGCTGGACCCACCTGGGACCCCCAGGAGCAGACGAGAGGCCGGCGCGCCCCGAGGCCGGATGATGGGCGGCGGCAGTGGCGGGGCGCGCCCGGCAGACGGAGCTGTGCGGGAGGGAGGCGGGAGCACCGGCGCGGTCCCGACATCCCTGCGCATCCCGCAGCCCCGCCGGGGATGCCGCCGCCCGCCG